GTAACTGGAAGCAAAGAAGAAGTAGTTAAAGAAATTGAGCACATCGAAGAACTTCTTTCTAATAAGAAGGTTAATGATTGGCTTGATATAGAAGAAAGCTTGACTACAATATTCAAGGAGCTATCAAATAACAAGAATCTTGAAATAGAGTGTGACGAATTCACAGTAGATACACGAGAAGATAATAATCTGGACTTATTTGGTAAGTTTAAGCTAGTATATACTTTTAATGAGAAAAAAAATGGAATATTAGTAGAGATAACTCCTGGTCATTCCTCATTAAGCTTATTGGAAGACCTATTGTCTAGTGAAGAGGAAAATATTATTAAAGAAAAGCTGACTGAAATACAAAATACTTATAGTAATATAGAGAGTTACACGGCATACACAATTAGACAGTACATAAACATAGAACTTGCTAAGATGGAGAAAAAGTCTGTATTTAGCCGAATTCAAGAAAGTATTAAAAATAACCATGATAATATAAATGATATTTTCCTTCATGGGATGATTCGATCAGTTGATCAAAAAGTAAACATTGTTAAATACTTCTTGATTATGAATGTAAAGAATACTCTACCAAAAAACAATTCACTAGTTCGGTTTACCAATAATCTCATAGGAAGCACTCCATTGGACGATTCAGCAACAAGAAGAAGGATGCTGCGTTATTGCTTGCTTAATAAAGACGGTAAGGGCTACTATCCAAGAATTGAGAGCTGCTGGGAAGAGGTTGCTACAATTACTCGATATAATTTTTATACAATAATTAATGGCATCTTACGTAATTCGGGTTATTCCATAGATGTTAAGTTAGAGTGCTTTAAAAGGTTGATGATGGTCTTGGCAAATCATAATAATAAGCATGCTATTATTACAAGTTTGTACTTAATTAATGATATAGTGGATTGTTCTAGAAAGACTAATGAACTAACTAAAACACTTTTAGAGTTTATAAAAATAATAGATGAAACAGTTATGCAGCCAGATGGATCAAATATGTTTTGTATTTACTTAAGATGGATTGTCAATGTAGGAACACGTAATCACATTTTAAAAGATAAGAAAGAGATTATAAAGATTCTAATGGATCAAATAGATGTTAATTATAATTTTAATCTAGATAACATATGGGATTGTTGGGTTCTTAGCGACCATTCCTATATATTGGAAAAATTAAAAACATGTAAGAATCTATTTTGTGATGAAGAATGCCCAGAGAGTGTTGAAAAGTACAACTGTCTTATGAGCAAAATAAGCGAAATTGCTGAATTGAACAAAAAAAGACGTTCTAGAGCCTCTTGAATCGTTTTACACATAGAAATGCATAAGTGAATATTGAATCTGGTGTACTCATGAGAAATAACACCATTATTACCCTGCTACATAGCCAAGATAGAGAAGAGAGTGAAAGGAGAGAGC